TAAGAGGGTAGCAGTGTTGGTTATATGCAGAATTTCTTCAAAGTACCGCTGATTGTGAGCAAAGGAACAGCTTCTTTAAGCAGGAGTGCACATTCGTAAAGCACAGTGACAATGTAAGGTCATTCCTAACTTTAAAGAGTCACATTTTGTGTCAGAATCAAAACCCCTCTCTTGCAGATCCCTCTCCTGAGCTAAAAATGGTATCTGTGCCAGAGTGTGTGTTGGGAATGCCTTTGACCATGCATAAGATTCCTTTGCCACAAATCACTTCTTTCCCTGGTTGTATGAATAATGAGATTCCTATAGAGCAAGCATTTCTTGAATGGTGCATAGACTTGAGGGAACTGGCTGCTGCATAAAGCCCTGTTGGGAATATGTGTCTGCACAACATCATTTAGGAAGAATTAAATGTGAGCAGGGAACAGAAAAAAGTGACAAAAATGATTTAAGGGGTTGAAGTCCCAAAGAAGCTCAAACTTTAGATGCAGACTGATTCATAGCTCCCTAAAATTTTGTAAAAGGCAAGGCAGGCTTCTGACAAGAGTCAGCTGACTCCTAGTCTAGCAGAAAGTATGACAGGATCCAGGGTCCAAGCAGTACAGCAAGACATTTAAACCTGAACAGAGGCATTGCCACTTACAATAAGTAGCCATCAGGCCAGTGTGGCACTAACTTAGGTTCAGAGGGCTTTCAAGATAAGTGTCAGTGGCTTAAACAAAGGATAGGCTTGTTTGCCCAGAGAAGTTGTGGCTGCCACATTGCTGGCAGTGTTCAAAGCCAGGTTGGGCAGGCTTTGAGCAACCTGGTCTAGTGGAATGTGTGCTTGCCCATGGCAGGGGGATTGGAACTGAATGATCTTTAAGGTCCTTTCCAACCCTAACCATCCTATGATAAAGAATTGCTGTGTGACATTGAGGTTTCTGGGTCAGACCAGATGATCTACTGGCTTGGAACAATTCGTTTAGCTGTTTTTGCAGTGTATACAAGGAACATGTGGGTGCAGCCAGGGTTTGGAGCCTTGCCTCGTGCTCTAAGTGCGAGCAGTAGCTCTGCTGTCCACCCTCACCTTCAGAAGTGCCATTCAAAAACTGGATGTATTTTTAATTCTCTCATAGAAGGGATGTTTTTCTGCCCTCCATTATGGAAGGAGCCAGGAAATGTTTGACTGATCTGCGATGGGATAGGAGTCAGTTACCAAGCTCTTCATCTGACCAGCAGTGAAAACCTAATCTGTTCCTGTACTTAGCCCAGTGCTTGTCCAAGGCGCTTCCAAGCCTTGGTTGTCTCCCTCATACATGTGCAAGCAATTTCTCTCCCATTTCTAGTTTCTTTTGAAAAGGAAACTCTTGATCCTCTGTCAAATGGCTGTAAAGGGATGCTGCTGTTTGCTTGTTGAGAAGTTTGGACTGCTTGGGAAGCATGACATTGTCAGTGAGATGCTGAAGAAACCAAACAGCGGCTTCATCGTCCTTCAGAAAATTAAGAGGCAGAGTTGTCTGTCAGTAACTACACTTTTAATGTTTTCATATTGTAATGAACTGGTGTTCATCACAGAACTGGATGAGAGTAGGTGTTTATTCATGTGGCCAGTGTTTAGTATGTTAGCAGCTGTTCGATTTCACACATCCTAATGGCAGGGGGTTTAGAGGAGATGGTCCTACACTCTTAATTTGGGCAATAGTGGTAGAGCAGTTTTATTTGGGTTTGTCCCTCATACTTTTCATCCTTCAGTTGAGGCACAACTGAGATGATGTATGTCTCCCCCCTGAAAAGTAGGAATGGTGTTCTGCATGATCAGTTTGAGTTATTTGAAAGTGCAGATGTTAATGGGGAATCTGTTAGGAGACCTCAAAGGATTTGTAGGTTTTATTTCTCTGGGTTCCTATTATGTAACTTAAAATGTTCTGCTGTTGGACAGGTGTGTGTTAATCTGAGATGTCACACTCCTATCTGTCATGTGCCTTTCCAGCAGTAAGGAGCATTCTGTAGCTGGTTAGCAATTGAGTTTATTTTGTATATAGAATTGATAATGTATTTTTTCTGACACAATGCTTGGCTTTAGAAGGCTAAGAGCCAAAATAAGTCAAATACACTTTTTCTAGTATGTGTTTTGGTAGAGCCAAAATTAACTCAGTAACTGAAGATTAGATCTGTGCAGTAAACAGGTGTCACTTCTACGCAGTTACTCTTCTGATTATAACAGCATTTAAAAATCTTGCTACTATGTGAGTAGGATTAGAATGAGGTTGAATTTCAGGTAGGAGATTTAAATGGGATTTAGAAACAAAACCTCAAACCTAAGATGATTGAAAAACAAAAAAAAACCAACCCAAACCCCCCTGAATTCTCAAAATTTCTTACTGTAAGTGCTTTGGAATAGTTGACACTTCAGAGTTTGTGTTTACACATGCTGTTTAGAAATGGTACGGGACAGCTAGTGTCTTTACGTTTTTTCAGTGGTATACCAGTGCTATGGAACTCATGAAAGGCATACCATTTTCTCTTTTTTTGTCCCCAGCCTTTAAGCTGCAATCTCTAGCTGTAGGCCACTGTCATGACACCTTGTCATAGTTTAAATATGCTGAGACCTAGTTAGGTGTTGTGAAAGGTAGCCCTCTCAACATGAAGACATTCAGGAAAGCTAACTGCAGTTATTTTTGAGTTTTCTGAAGTGTTAGTTCTTCATGGGTAGTCACGTGGCTGTTAGGATAAGGGCTGAGATTTAATTGCTGCTATTATCTGTAGTAGAGGAGTTCTCTTCAATAGAACATTAGGCTGTTGTGAAAATGCTGTCAATATGAGATGTAGAGCGGGTCATGGATAGCAGTCCAAGGAAGACCAGCATTCCTTAGCTTAGTTATTTACAAAATTACTGTGCTTTTATGGACGTAATGTGCTTGACTTGCATAAATGAGTGTGTGTAATTGGTAATGCAACTCATTGAGATGAGTTGCATAAGATGCTCTTAGTTAATGCATCTATCCTAAATTTACGTCAATACGTTTTTTTGGATTCCTTTGCCATGTCCTTTGTTGTTTTCTGTAGGCTTGGCTGAAGAACTACCAAGGCACTAACACTTTAATTTTTTAAATACTGGGTACACTAGATTTTTTTTCTATAATGTAACATGGAATTTGGTTTCATCTGTAGGTAAGATTTTTACAACTAATGCTCAGATAGGAATTGCATTCCCAATAGCTCCTTGTGCTGTTGGGAATGCAATAATGTGTTTGTGATCAGTAAAGATAAACACTGCTCACAGAAACCCAAGCAGTTCCATCACGCTTGCTTTGAATGTACAATTGATAAATTGAGCAATAAGAAATATTTTGCAACTTGATTATTGCTAATTATATTCATAGTGCTTTTGAGTAATTTGCAATCAGTTTTGTGATGTGTTGAGAGAATAAAAATGAAAGTATGCAGATAGCAGTGACAGTGGCTTCAGTAACATGTCTACATGAGATTGTTGTTGATTTTGGCTGCTAAAAGTCAATTTGCTTGAGGCAAAATGATTGATTTGCACTTTAGTAAAACTCAAGATAAACACGTGGTACCATGTTATAATTGCTCTTAGATCATGTTTTATGTGATACTCAAAGCTTTTTAAAAAGACTGTTAAGTCTCTGAACAAACTCTGCTACCTTAGGGAATCGAAGCCAGCTGTCAGCAAGGGGGAATGACTGATTTAGCTCTGAAGGATCCCTAATGAAGGGAATGGTCCAAACACCCCATCACTCTTCTGTGTGGGGAGGACTGGAATGGGAAATCAGCTGCAATGAACTTCTTTGGAAAAAGAGAAAATGGGTAGAATTCAATTTACGAGTAAAATGAAAAGGCAGTTTCTAAAGTGGTTTCATCTCATTTAATGGCTTTGTTTCAGAAATGTATTGAAGGGGGGCATCTCTAGCTTATAGTAATGTAGACATTTCTATACCATTTCAAGGTGCTGGAAGTAATGATGTGAAAGCTCAGCCACAACTGAAAGTGTTTGCTAGAAAGGATTTTGGAACCTGTTCGTATTTACATAAATGCCTGTATGATTATAGTTTACTTTTGTCTCAAGGGAACTCAAAGGTGTTGTGAATTTCATCTAAATGCTGAACACTGTCAAAGCTGAGGCAAAGGCTGTAACTAATTTGTTGAGCTGGGTGAAACTAATAGTGCTACTGAAGTAATATCTGCATAGATGTTACAAAGACCAGTCTGCTATTTTGGGATTTGTCTGTTTTCACTTTAGAGGTCCACATCTGAACTAGTCATTCTGGTGTCCTTTCATGGTGAAGGAAGGAACTGGACAACTCTAGATGTTCAGTTTAGAAGCAGAGCTTCAAAGTTAAGCAAGATGAGTCTTACGCTTGTTTACCTTTTGGCTCATTAGAGCTTTCATCAAATGTTTTTAAATCCTTGTCAATACATGAAAAGCAAGCATGTTGGATTTTGCTCCTACTGCCTACGTTGACATAGTAACAGAAGAGAGCTTAAATCTATCTGGAGAAGGTTTGTTAACATAACAAGTCAGTGTTGCATTTTTCCAGTCATGTTTACTGAACAAAATGTTCTTGAAATGCCCACAGATGCTCTTCTCAAGCAGCAGCTGTGGAATTGGGCCAGGGTGGACTTTTCACATCCCAGATGGGATGTAGTGGGACTACTATTTAAGGGTAAATAGTAAATAGGGTTTAGCAGAAGGTGTAATGAGCTGAGATACGGCTGCTGTATCACAAAACTGAAGTGTTCTCAGTTGACTACTTGTAACTTCCTTTGCCTACTGAATTGCAGCTAAAGGAATTGGAGAAATAACCTTTCTTTGGAGAGGGGGTGAGGAGAGAAAGAAAAGATAACGATATCAAAGATGCTCTTCTCTGGGACCTCCTGACTCTGAAGCATATATTTGTGATGCACCTGGGTTGGGGCTTCAACTAAGATGTTGGAATATAATAAAAGTGATGGGGGACAGAGTGAGAAATGAAATGCCTGCTCTTTGTTTTATTAAACAGGTGCAGTGCCATACCTACACTGGATACTGCTGGTGTGTGACACCTGATGGCAAGCCTATTAGCGGCTCTTCTGTACAGAACAAAACTCCTGTATGTTCAGGTACTGTGGGAGTGACTTCAACAAAGGCTAATTTGATAACTAAAGGGGTGGGGAGAATGTATCCTGTTAAGAGTACTTAATCTTTCCAGGTGACTTGGTCAGTTTGCCCAATTTAACACTGCAGTTGTGCTTTTATCTCCTTGTGTGCTTGCTGGCATTTGGAAGCTGCAAGGGAGCTTGGACTGTGGCAGGTCCACCCTGCAGTTAGGGTACAGGTACTCCTGCAAGGCTCACCCATAAAAAACACAAAGGCACTAAGGAAACAGCCAAGGCAGGAGTCACAGTGTTGTTGTATACACCAAACCCAGCGATTCTTGTAACAGAAAGAATATTTTTTTTTTGCATGAGCTGTATTTAAAGAAGTGTTTCTCAGGCTGTATTTTCTAGTGGGCCATGAAGTCATTTTGCTTTCAGAATGACTTCACTTAAAAGTTTGATAAGGCAGTTCTTGAGAAACTGGTGGTTGTTGACTACTAGCTACCAAATCTGGGGTCCTGCTGTTACAATGGATTTGGGTCTTCTGATCATGTCACTCGGTTCCAGTTCTTAGTTTCTAGATTTTCACGTGGCCCTGAGCACTAGTGTACAGTTTTGCTTTGTGAGCTGTGGTCAACAGAGTTGCTGCGAAGCTGTTCTGTGCTGTCTACAAGAATTCAGGGGCAATACTAGACTTTATGCTTTTCACAGAAAAGAAGAAAGCAAAGATAGCAAACAAAGGAGTGTGTTTCTAACATGTTCAGTGATACCATGTAGGCACTACAGCTGCCTCTGGCTTCATGCTCTGCAGCCTGCACACCATGGGTGTTTAATGTATTTGTCCTCTCACACCTTACAGTGTTTGCCTTTTAGATAGGAGCATGACAGCAGTCAAACCTTTGGAGTTTTTTTGTTTGTTGTTTTGTTTTTTTTAATCCTCCTCGTCTTATTCAATGTCCTCTTGGCTGCAGGATGTTTTGTGATAATAAGCAAACATAGTGACTTGCATAAGGGTTTGAGCTGAGTGGGAGAACTGCCTGGTAGCCAGTGAGTCAATGTAGGTTGAGGGAATGCTTGGTGTTTCACAGGTACATGGAAAGAAAATAAAATTAATATCCTGTTTTAGTGTAAGGTAAAATGCAACAGTAATTTTGCTTAAATGTTAGAATATGACTTTCTTCCACCATTCCCGTGTATGGTTTTGGTAGGCATGTTTTAGTCTTGCTTATCTGACCGTTTAGTCTTGAGCTGTTAATAAAATTATGTTATCAGGAAAGTAAAGTCATAGTGTACTGTAGGGGAAACAGATGTCAGGCTCATGATGACTGATACGGACTATGTGCTTCCTTCCTACCTGTAATTCAGCAGTAGATCTGTGATGAACTGGTCTGCAAGTGAAAGTGCCTGGGCAATAGAGTTTATGTTAGAGTTTGTCTTGACCAGTCTTTTGGGCCTGTCAGAGCTGCTTCCTTTGGACATGACTTTTGATCCATGTTTCTGGAAGGATCAGTAATTACTGGAACTGTTTAGTTGATGGTGCATGGAAGAATCAATTTCTTGGAAATAAAGCTATTCCAAAAAAAGGGGGGAATGATGACTTTTAATAAATTTTTACACTTTGGTAATGGGCTTGTTCAAAAAGCTTTAATTATTAGTTCAAGTTTTAAAGGAAAACTTTGTTCTGAAGCACTAAAGCAAACTGCAGAAAAGTGTAGAACCATATGTATTATGTAAAGATCTAAGTTACGTTAAAAACCCCAGGATGTGTTCTATTCAAGTACGTTCTGGATCTTATTCAGTGTCCCTTTTCAAATAGCTGGGGATGTTGAAATCCATTTTGTGTGAATTGTCCCACTTAATTCCTCTTAGAATACTGGCCTTGCATTCCCTGCACACTCTCCCCACCTGTTTTTGATTTGTTCTTCTTGACATATGCAAACAAAAGAAGTGACTCTTACTGATCTTTTCTACTTGCCCTTGGATTTATTCCAGCTTTCTTACTAGCACACTGCTCTGTTGAGCTCTTTCAAATCACTGGATCCAGCTATCAAAGATTTCTTGTTTACCCTCATCCTGATTTAATATCTTGACACACAAAACTTCCTTATGCTGTCCCAGTTGGTTGAAGCAAAAGGCTCTCTGAATCCCAAACTGAGCTGTTGGCAAGTAAAACAGATGCTCCGTGGGTTGAGATGCTGATTGTATTAATGTGACATTACATGTTCTGTGTGATCATGCAGCATCTAAATGTCTTTTCTTTCTTTTTCCTCCCCTTTAGGTTCTGTAACTGATAAACCATCAAGCCAGGGTAATTCTGGAAGGAAAGGTGAGTGGAGTCCTATGCTTCAGCAACTTGTTTCGTAATAGCAGCTGCCCTGCCAAGTCCCTTGAGATAACTCAGTACCTGGGTTCTAACTAGCTCAGTGTGTGGGAGGCTTTCATGCCTGTAGACCTCCACCTTCAGTAGGAGGAATAAGATGACAGTCTGTTGGTGCACCACCCTATGGAGTAGAAAATGGCATGCTCTGCTCTGTGCTCATCAGCTGAGATGTAGTGCATGAAAACAGAGCTTCCCAAAGAAGCATCTGGCATAGAATAACCTCTTGTTCACCTTGAAATTAACTACTGAGCATTTCTCGAATAAAATCCCTGGACATTAGGAAGGCTATCAATATGACTAGTACACTGGGAGTCAGGAGTGTCAATGTCATGGTTTTGGCTTTATATGCATTGAAAGTGTTGGGATGTTTTGGTTTTTTTTTTCACAGAGCATCAAACCCTCTAGCCAGATGAGCTGGATTAAACCCTGGCTATGCTTGGAAACCTTGCTTTTTTGTGCATTAGACATCAGTCCTCCTTTACAGTCCTTGCCTTTCCTCAGCGAGGCATTTAGATGTGTCATTGTTCTTCTGTGTGTATTTGAAGCCCTTTTCTGTATCTCTTATGTTCATTGAAATAGTCTTGGAAGAGAAGTGTACATTGAGGGGCAGCCAAATTTGTCTGTAGGCCTTCTACACACTCTGATTTTAAAACCCTTCTCCCCTCTACCCCTGCAATTCAGAGTCAACTTTTGAGTTTGTCTCTTTACTACAGGAAAACAGTGCTGAATGCATCCTCACTCCTGCTGGTGAGGATGAAGGCCGTTTCCTGGGAGAAGTTCCTGGTTTAATATTTGGAGCTGAATTTTTAGTGCTAACTCTTTAAACCAATCGTTCCTGATACTTTAAAACACAGGAAAATGCCTACCTCGATGCCAGTGCTTTAATTTGAAGAACATTTTCCGTGCTGGGACTGTCAATACAGTCCTGTGAACACTTAGCAGGGATTGTAGATCACTATGTTCTGAGCAGTGAACGTGTTTAGAGAACATTTTGAGAATATCTGTTCTCCAGTCTATTGCTTGTGTATTGCAGCTTAGGAAGAAGGTGCAGAGAGAATTACTTGGTTAATATTGAATGCTGAAGCCTGCTTCTTATTTTAGATAAGGATATGTCTCTGTAAACCTGTAATTACATGTTAATGTATAATTGGCACCTGAATGCATTGTTATCATTCTGTTAATGCTAGTCTAGCCTGAAGTACAAGCAAATCAAGTAGCTCTTGAAATCTGCGTTATTTTTGGCTGGGGGTTGTTTGTAGGCTTCCTACCTGAGTAGTCCTAGTCTGTTCTTCTAGAATTGGATTTCAAAGGAAACAAAAGCAAAAGGGGAAAACATCTGAACTTGTTTTTTCCACTTCATTCCCTTTATTAACTCAGAAGTTGGAACATGCAAAAAAAAAAAAAAAAAAGAGAACTGTAAATGGAATGAATTAACCTAAAATTTGTAATATAAATTGATTCTCCTTGGTGCTGCCTGTGGCATTCCATTTCAAGAATGGTACTCTTAGTCAAGTGGTTGCAAAAACATCCTATGCAGTAGCTGTCAAGAAAAGGAAAATGTTTCTCTTTGGGCCAGCATGCTTCAAGCAATCATGTACATTTTCTATTTCCTGTAACTCTGAATCTCTTCATATCTGTTGGAAGCCACTTTGGCCTTTCTCCATCATGTTAGAAAAGTACTTGTGAACAATCATTAAATAGATCTTCTAAAATCAAGAGGGTTTTTGGGAGCTGAAATAATTTGGTTTAAAACTTGATGGACTTAACATTACTTTTTGGGCTAGTGATGAATGCCTAATTAAAAATTAATCTGTCTTTCTTGTCAGTGTGTTGAGTTACCTTGATTCAAAATTCCAGTATCAGGTCCTACTGTAAAGAAGTCGGAACCAAGAACAGACTGGCTTCCTTGAAGCAAGGTGCTTGCTGGAGGTCTGGCTTCTCTGAAGACCTGTAGCTAGCCATTGTGCATATAACCTGTAGCTAGCCAGTGTGCATATAACCATCCATTTCAACCGAGTGTTCAGACTCTTTCTGTAAAGATTGCCCTTTGAAAGATGACAGAAAGAGCAGGGTGAGGAGGGGTACAGCAGGAACTGGGTTGGTGATGAGCTTTCTGTTGCAGAGGCACATCTTGGAAATTTCTGACGTCACTTTGGGCAACTGCTACCTGAATCAGGAGCTTTTGGACTTTTCCCAGTGCACCGCACACTCCTCTCTCCATCCCCAGATGAAGGTCTCTGAGTCAAAGAGCATTGTCTGGCACACAGTAGGCCCTCTCAGGAGGAAAGAATAGCCGAGGCTCTCAAAAGTGATTTCTTTTGTCCCATTCATACAGGAATGTAAAATATGGAGCTAATAAACTTTGTGTGATGCTGGTGCCTTTCAAGTCTTCAGGGCAAAATAGTCTTTTTGGATAGAGGCTGCTCTGCCTTAGAAACTGCAGATGAGTAGGCTCATGCTGTTGGGTACTAAATGAAGACTTTATTAACATGAGCTCCTTTTTAGAAGAGACTAAGTAATGTTGGAAGGAGAAGGCGGCTGATTATTGGTAATAACCCTTTCTCCAAATGTTTTGGCCTCACTTATGTCCTGTTTAGCCATAACTTCTGGGAGTCAGTAGGTGTAATGGAGTCGCCAGAAGATGTGATTCCACTCACAGGCTCTCTCACTACTGATGAAAAGAAGATGAAATGGTCATGGTCATGTGGCTTGGCTTGTAGTTCCAGAAGTGGTTCTGTGGAGCTTTCTGCAGAGAACAGATGAGAGTGCTGGCAAGAAATCCTTTTTATTTTTAAATCCCGTGCTCTGGTTGCCCATGTTTACATTGCTGCTATTGCTGTATGATGCAATGCCAGTTATTCATACAATTTGCCCTGTAAGGTAATTTAAATCAAATTAACTTGGCACCAAACTTAAAACTTTAAAATACTATGTATTGATCTGTTCTGTGGCTGAGAAGTGCTCTGTTGCTGGAAGGCAGAGACCTGAGCCTGCAGAGATGGAAGAATGTATGAGGTGGAATGGAAACCCAGGTTATCCAGGACAAGCTTGGTGTGTGGACTTTGCAGCTCAGACAGTTACCATTGTTCTTTCTATGCTGAATTCAGCCTGCAAGTGAAGAACAAGTTTCCAGGACCTTTGTTAGGGAATGAAGTTATTCTTGGGTGGGATTAGGATATCCAGAACCTGCGGATTTCTGTTGCTGTCTATTCCTTATTCCAGCTCATTCCTTGTACAGTCTTTTCTTGTAAGGAGCTTCTTGCTCTAATTTACTCCAGTTGCTGGTTTGTTTAGAAGGCCTTAGAGACTTGGAAGATGCACGCTGTCCCCTAGGGGGATGTATCTCCCCCCTCTCTCCCACTGGGAGGTTCTTAATGTTTTAAGAAGCAGTGAAAGGCATCCTTGGAGCCAACGGCACTGGATTTCTTCCCTGCCTAAAGAATGTAGAATGTTCCTTTCCAGCAAAGGGAAATTGTGCCATATGTTTGAAACAAAACAAGCAAACACAAAACGAAACAAAACATTCTTAATCTGAGGAGTGCCGGGGCTTTAGGAGCTCAAAGCTACAGATTTGGCATACTGCAGCCATGAGTAGTGACTTTCACAGTCACCAAGCAGGTTTTAATAAGGAGGCTGATCAAGAGACAGAGGGATGTAAAAAACAACCATGTCATTGCTTATCTCCAATAAGCTTGAAGTCACTTGATCTTCCTTCTTTAAACTGGAGTGAAGTAAAAGTAAAGAAATCAGCTACGAGTGAAGGGGAAAAAAGAAATCTAAGTTGTGATACTGATTTGTTAGTGGTTGTTAACTTCTGGATGCTGTGCAAGATGTTGATACTATTTTAAAATCAACTGAATGAAATAAATGGGAAAGGAGGCTTGGTTTCATAATTTGGGATAAAAAGATGATGCAAGTACAGGGTAAAATGGGCCCAATCAGCTGTCAGTGTCAGTCATGAGGAGTCTTGAATGGTATGAACTCCCTTTTTCTTTCATGAAGTCTTTTGCAATGCATAAAGTTCCAGGCCTGTTTTGGCTTGCTTTGCTTCCCTTACAAAAGCTGGCAATAGCATCTGCAATTCCATGAGCCTGGGGCTGGTACAGTGATGCTGGTGAAATGTAAGCTCTGATGGCCTCACAGAAGGCAAAGCCTGGGTTGAGCTGGTTTTATGCTTACTGTCTTACACGTAGACAAAACTCCTTTATGGAGCTGCAAAAAGCTTTGCCCAATGAGTTTGCAGCCTACAAGAGAACACTGAAGCAGCTTGAGGAACTTAAGATGAACAACTTAAAATTCCTGCCAATTAAACATCTAGAATTGGGCTCCTTTTTGTGGGTTTAACAGAGAGAAATGGGCTTAAAGGCAGGTTTCATTTCAGGGAAATTCTTCGCTGCAATTGTGGGCGAGTTGGCAAGAGAGCCATTCTGTGGCTGTCTTTCTGCTGGTTTCCAAGCACCTTACCTCCAGAAAATGTTAATGGCCTAGTTGTACAGCCAGTAGACTGAGCAATTAGAATCAGGAATGAGCCATTAGTCTGAGTCAGTAATTAGACTGAGCAGTAAAGAGTGAACGCTCTCCTCAGGCTGTCAGTAATTAGACTGAGCAGTAAAGAGTGAACACTCTCCTCAGGCAAACCCAAGTGGAGGACGGCTTGTGCCGATGTAAATAAATAGGACCATTTGTACACGGAGACCTGGAAGCTTTGTTTGCTGGTGGTAAGACGTCAGGTGCAGCTGGCACTAATTCACTTGCTGTCATCTTGCAAGGAGGTTGGTTGGCACATCTCAGAAGACAGATAATATCTTGACAAAAATGTCACATTGGAATATGACCAAAACCTGAGAGTGGTCTTTACCTTCTCCGGTTCTTTCTGGATTCAACCAGGTACTGACCAAATCTGAAACAGAGCTGTGCTATTACTCAAACTGAGCTTCAAGAGCCAA